AACGGAAGGTCGTTTAGTATCCTCTATATAGTATACGTACTTGGATCGTTCATATACCTGGGATACAAACCCTTGGTTAAGAGGATTCGGGCAGGTTGTGTGCCCGTTCAGGCAAAAAGGCAACCTTCTCATTCATGTAATTGGGGCAGTGTGGTAGCCTAGTCGTTACAGCGTTCGTGAGTAGAATGTGTGAAGCCCATGAGTACATCTGGTGTATCTCGTCGTGATATTGATGAAATATTGCTGAAAGCTGCGTAAAACTAAGCTCACTCACTCATCCATGTAATTGAGAGCGTTATTTCCTCGTTTATTTGAATAGAATTGGCATCTGTAGCCAGCAGTTGTTGTCCAAGTAATAAAGACTGCATAGTATGATGTTTTAATCGTATGGTTGTCAGGACGTTGTTATAATTCTGGTACCAGCTGTTATTTCATACGGACTGAGTGAGTCTGCTCGCACTTCTCAGCATTAATACTGAGTGTGTAGTGCTAACAACCCTAAATAATATGCCGCAGTTTGACATGTATATTCCTCTCAGACACATTGTCCTTGGTTTATTCTCTTAGTGCCAGACGCATTATATCAATAACAGGTTTAGGAGTGAGAAATGATTGAGATTTTATTGTGTGCCTGTTCGGTTCGGTTGACAGCGGGAGACGCCAATAGGACCAATAGTTCTGGAAGACCTTAGTTAGCAGGTGACAAGAGAGAAAGAACTAAATTTACAACACCTTGATTAAACGATGGATCGTTTGAGCGGAAACTTGTCAAGAAAAGAAGAGCGTTAACATGTATAATGACATTGTAAGAATTATATCACCCACATTCAATTTTCGTTTAACGAGTGAGTTTAGTTTTACGCGCTTTTAGCAATATTCCAGCAATATCACAGAGGGGTACACCAGAAATCGGCTTCACACATTGTACCCATGTGAGAAATCGAACCCGGGTCTTCGGCATGACAAGCAAATGCTTTAACCACTAGGCTACCCCACCGCCCCATCTCCCAGGTTGAAACTAAAAGGTTACCTGGGAATCTGTCCGTGTAGGAACTAGTTGTGAAACCAACAAACCGCAAAGAAAGGTGATCTAATTAACAATTGTATAATTAAAATTGACTAAGTTTACAAATCGATACAAAACGTATCAATATGGCAGTACAAAATAGAGAGGCAGTGCAAGTTCAAAGGTAATGTAATATACTACCCATCAAAAGTTTAGACTCACTTAAAACACTCACTTTATGTTATGTACATATATATGGTTACATCGAAGATGAATTTCTCCACTAACTTGGGGGAACCAACTGCAAACTTTATGCAGATGAATTACACGATGATCATACATCAAATTGCTGAAAAGCATGTGCAAATATCGCGCATGTGAACAGCTGCGTTTTGTTGTAAAGTTTTGTTGAGAATTCGCCAATTTTCATCATTTATTGAACTCATGACAACAATCTTTTCAACGTTACGAATGTGTTTTACAATACATTAGTTCATATGTAAACAATACCTTTAAACAGTATGGAATATTTTGGCAAAATCTAGTTTAGAACAGTTGACTGAAGTAAGTCCCTCATTTATACGTAAGTACTGTCAGAAATAGAAAAACACCGTATTTTCACATTTATCTCTACAATTTATGTAGTTGATATGTGAAAGTGAGAAATATCTGTTAAAGAAAGTTCGGCCTAACTACAGCCTCAGTGCTAGGGAGATAGGAAACGCGAAAAAAGGACTTTACTGAGAAGAGATTAGTGCAGAAATGAGCTTTTTTTAAAAGTCCAAAGCGACTTATTTTTATAATAACCTTGACCTTATAGTAACCATTTTAGGGTTATATTTGGTCTAGGATATTTATAATACCTAGAATTTGTTGTCGGGGAATTAGCTTGGGACCGCAACACCTTCAAGTAACCAAGAGAAGCATCGATTAGAGGCCAGTCTTTATTCAGTGCATTTCATGAGTCATATTATATAATTAAACATTAGCAATATTTCAAACTTGGACAAGTAATACATATGAAAATCATGTGAATTGATAATTACATAACCCTTACTGACAATATACCTTACAATAAACAATTGCCAAGATTACACGGAAGTGAGGACGCTTCATATTATATTGGAAAACATAAAACACGTGATGTAGCGCAGCTGAGAAATATGCGTAGAGAATGATCAGGTAACTCGTCAGTAAGACACGTAGTACATGTGCTATCAATTGCTAAAATAATCTTCTATGTTTATGGAGGTCGTAAATGATAGGCGTTACTTTGCTACATCCCAACAGAATGCAACTTAAACAGAATAATAAGAATACACAAATAATATAAATATTCAGTCTGCTAGTTGAATATTATGACCACTTCTTTTATATCTAAATTATCGTAAATTACTCGAGATTGTATGCCGAACGGCATGTTATTGAATGTGTACACACATACATAATTAAAGCTTCACAGTACTGAGAACGTAGCAATATGTGAGCAACAGAATGAAACAACAAGGTTTATGTGCGCTCACGAGTTTTGCACCTACCGTATAGTTATCTCACGTAATATGTACATTGTTTAAACATTGGTTGATGAAAGGTAGCATGGAACATTTGAATTAAACACACATAATAATGATTTAGAAATGGCATACGCTTTGATTGCAAACACGCAATAATATACAACACGTGCACAAGAATTACTTTGCTTCCAATTATATATGTAATTGTGATTTACTGAACCTATATTATGTCTTAACGTTACTATATCATACTGTAAACAATTGTGATGTAAATGAAATTGTTAGATTGGTGCTACATGGTCTGACCCACCTATGATAAAAATATTCCCTGTTGTACTTAATAAATACTGCATAGTTTAAATGATAATATTGGTATAAACTAACAGTGTGGAACGCAATAGAAAACAGAGAACATATGAACATAACTTAAGAACATACAATGAATGAAATGAACATGGCTTACCTTCAAGTAACCAGGAGAAATGAAGCATCGATTAGTGGCCAGTCTTTATTCAGTGCATTTCATGAGTGAAATACCCCGAATAAAGGCCGTTATATATACAACCGATGCTCTCAGAGTTCGTGATATGGTCTCGCGTTCAACGGTCACTTCTTTAAACAATACTTACAAATGCTGCTAATCTACACTGCTGACTATCTATATCTTGAGATTACCTCGAAGCTTTGAAAGACTTGAGAATGCAGAAATGACTAAAATTATCTAACAGTTTTCTCGGATAATGTGTTATCATAGAGTAATGTTTACTTCTCCCTCCGAACATATAGTATTAACGATTAGAGCATAAAGCTTATCAAGTAAACTTCGCAATCAAGACGAGCGTATATCGACACTGACAGATTATAGACTTGGGACGGACGATGCATGTAGTGTTAAAGTTTAACACATAATGCTAATTATCTTACAACTTGGAAAATGAAGATCAACACTAACTGAGACAGCGTTTAAACCTTTAAACGAGTATTCTCGTTATTGAGTAAAGTATACAAAATGTGCTGTTTAGTCCTATTTTATAAAGTCACAATTATTTATATAAGATTGGGGAAAATATGACGTATTTTATAACTATGATATTTGGAACATACCATGGCTTTATGCAAATTAGTGTGCGATGATATTGTATTTCAAAGGACACTTTTTAAATGCCCAATTTGAAATTAGACGTAGCTTCATTATAAACGATAGCTGTCGATCTTCGGGTGGTCATGTCACCTTTATATTTTGAGACATTTAATACGATGCGTTTCTATGGTTATCAGGTATCATACTCTTTTACATATCTCAACATAAACTTTATGAAAGAAAGACACGTAAGATGTTAATAGATGAGACATAGTCAACACACATGAAAAAGCACAAAATATCTTTGAGATGACCCTTTGTGCCTGTAGGCAGCACATGCATTTCGTGCCAGGTGAGTCGTTGGTCCGTCGTCATACCTGGCTGAGCGACCTAATTGCCATATATAGTATGATTTATTGTTTTCAGCAGCAGTTCGTATATTTTCTAAGTTTTCCCCGATTTTACGAGTGAACAGGCTTTTCTGGATATCCCATTACGCATCCCACTGAAGGCTCAGTTAGGCCGATGTGGGTTTTATCGACATATGCTATTTGCATCCGACTAACGGGATCGGGTGGTCAGGCTCGCTGACTTGGTTGACATATGTCATCGGTTCCCAATTGCTCAGATCGGTGCTCATGCTGTTGATCACTGGATTTGCCTGGTCCAGACTCGATTATTTACAGACCGCCGCCATATAGCTGGAATGTTGCTGAGTGCGGCGTAAAACTAAACTCACTCACTCACTAAATATAGCACACCACTGACCCTCACTGAATACCACCTGTACAATGCATTACACTTGGAACATTGTTACACAATGGATAACCCTGCTACATAACAATTGTAAGTAAAATTCCATTATAATGACTCAAATACAGGTAAAATTAAATATGCACTCATGTTCGATGGTGGTTTAAAATGGAAAGAAACTAAAAATGGTCATCTGATCAATAATTACAATAATAATAATAATAAGGTTGCTTGTATAGCGCTTAATTCCATACACATGTATGCTCGGAGCGCTTGTCAGAGTAGCACAGGTGGTACACAAAGTGCTAGTTGAATAAGAACGTCTTGAGCTGACGTTTGAATTGGGTCACTGATGGTGAAGTTTTTAATTCTATTGGAAGAGCGTTCCAGAGGTGTGCCGATACGTTGGAGAATGACCGACATCCAAAGGTTTTCAATTTTGTCCGTGGAATGACAAGATTGTGTCGCGAACATGATCTGAGTATTCTGGCTGGATGGTACTCGCTGATCAATTCACAAAGATAGCTTGGCGCTGTTCCATTGACACATTGGTAGGTATGTGTCAGGACTTTGAACTGGATTCTCTTCTGGATTGGGAGCCAGTGCAGGGACTTAAGAACCGGTTTGTACTTAAGGGACTTAAGATAACGTTTGTACAGTTTTAATGTATGTTTTAAGTGTATACTTTCTTTTAATGGACAGGTATTGCCAACAGAGCTCCATGAATACACAAAGCCATTTAGAAAGTGGTCAAATGTACACATATGTTACATTTAACATATTTAAATGGCTTTGTGCATACATAGTCGTGCCAATTTACACTTGTCAGATTGGTCCCAGATCTAGTCTACCAGTTGTCCAACCTCTATTTCTGTGCAAGCCGCGGTGGCTTGGATGGCTGAATTTGTGTGCTGACGATTAGATGTCTGGCTGTGGGTTTTAATCCCGCATGGGACTCGACCTACCAAATCTGTACTTTACTGAGCAAGTGTAAAGGCAAATATGACATGTCACAGTTGAAGTCCATACTTGAATTCTTCCTTTGCTATTGCGATTACAAGTCCTTGAATGGCGCGTACTATGTGAAATTACAATACTCAGCTGATATACATAGAAACTATTGCGTACCTTTGAATGATTGTTTCTCACAAGGATATCTAATCCAAATCCTCCTAGTACAGTGAGTACCATTTACAACTGTGAGATAAGTACTCTTGGTTGAATATACATACCGTTTCTATATAATGTCACGTAATTGTATCCTGACAAACGTGTACGGCAAGCATATATGTACAGATGTTCAGATGTCAGTGTTTATGATTATTCATATTCATTTACTCAGGCAATTGTGCCGTGGATTTTGTTACATGTGTATTTTTAAACCTTCGTGACAGGTATCAGGGATAGAGTGTGTGCCTTTCAACTAAAAATTCCGGTGTCCCTTGCCGTGATATTATGTAATTATGTAACATAACTAACAAAAGTAGCCAAAAGATATACAGAACAATGCTCTCTCTCTCTCAACGATATTTGAGTTTTTATCACTTGAACTAAAGCATTCCTCAATACAAAACCGAATATGATTTAATATGTCAATACTGAGGGCTCGACCAATGAGTACAATTCAGTGACAGTCCTGCCTCCTTTTTTCTGCGTAAACGTTGTCAAACTGTTCACTCTGTGCTACTGTAAACCAATTCTTCCAGTCTGTTGTTATACCTGAAATGATAAACGCAATATCAGAGGCTAGAACAGCAGTATCAGAGGATGATAGGGTATGACTGTTAAAGAAAAATGCAATGTCAGCTATAGTCCAGCTGTATGACGGCGTTCTGTAAAAGTCGAGTCTGGACCAGACAATCCAGTGATCAACAATATGACCATCAGTCTACGAAACTGACATGTGTCAAAGAAGTCAGCGAGTCTGACCATCCGATCCCATTATTTGCCTCTTATGACAAGCATGGATTGCTGAAGAACAATTCTAGCCCGGTCTTCACAGGTACATGGTACACTGGAGAGTAGTCAGTGCTATTTGCATGGCGTCAATATGGCGTCAGATACTATGAAACAGTAAGACAAGTGTTCATCTGAACAGACACAGAAACACATGGCTCAAGGTAAACATGAACTTGGATCGGACAAGTCACAGAGGCGTCACATATGGACATGAAAACCGAAACATGAGTCTCATTAACCTGTTCAGACAATGACCTACTTTTCAGCCGATCCGAATTTTCTCGTTTGAAAGTGAAAATAGACATCATAAACAACTATGGTTACACTGAATTCAAATTCCTTGTTTCATAAAAAAATGATATTTACAAATGAATTTTAATTTTAAACTTTAATAACATCGTTTTTCTATATTTTATGGCGAGGTGTAGGCAGCATGACCTTAACTAAGACGTCACTGACCGCTCCTGTTTGATGAGGTCGTAAAATGGTTCTAAATGCATCTGGAACACTGGTTACATCTGTTATGTATTTTTGCGCTTATACAGTGTAGTTCTGTAACGCACAACGTGATGGATATGATATCAAGTCCGTACCAGACCGCCAAACATGTCTAGCGGGAGAGCCTCGTTTGGGTATTTCCACGATTTCCAGGTTTCCGTTTGTCAGAGCTCGCTTTACGACAGAGCACGCTGCACGACGTGTTTGCAATGATTAGAAGGAGCGTAGTGTTGCAATATACAAGTGCTTAGATGTATCAAATACTACCGATTAATAATTATGTATCCAGTTAAATGAATTGATCCCATAATTCTGGACTAGTTATTGTACTAAGTTGCGCAATAGGACGAGACCCAGTCAACAGGAAACGAGACTGTTGTGTAATCAATGTTTGGACTTGCCCGTGCATGTCTATCATGAAAGTTTTGGGCATCCTGAGAGAAGTCTTGAATGTTGTAAGTTTGACAGCCTGGGCCATACTCCAACCTGCCAGCTGCTGCACGTGTTTTAATCCGTGGTATTCTATTTACGTACAGTTATGTACAGTCATCGCACTGATGTATGTAATCAATGCACGGAACGGTTTGGTAGTAACAAGTGTACTCAGTAACTGTATATCATATAATGCAAGGTGATATCATGCATATACAGTGTACGAATATAGGATAAATATAATTTTATCTATCAATTGGGAATTATGGTAATATTGGGCTAATTGAAATATTTAAAACATGTGAATCGAGAAATTTGTTTTGCACAACAAAACCACAACGGTTAATGACCATGACAAACACGGACGACAGCTTTGTCATTGTGTTGTGTTGTGTTATCTGTGGACACAGATTGCTCAATAGAAGCATTGCTCTCAACAATGAACACACCCCGTCAGTACACAGAGTGGTCCACTCTACTTAGTTTTGTTGTTTTTTTTCCAGTTGGTCTGCTTGTTGTTTAAAGCCGCACACAGCAATATTCCAGTTACAGGACGGCGATCTGTAAATAACTGAGTCTGGACCAGACAGTCCAAGGACCAACAGCATGACCACCGATCCACGAGATTTGGATACAATGACAAGTATCAACCAAGTCAGAGCGCCTGACCATGCTCTTACGGCAATCATGAGTTGCTGAAGATCAATTCTAACCCGGATCTTCACGGGTATCCACTATGCTTGCATACTACCTCCAGCAGCAGTGATGTAAAATCTATGAATGCCATTTAGAAGGGATTGATTGATGTCAACATCTGTATTATGAGGGGAACTGCGTTTCAACTGATGGAGTAAGAATTTACGTCATTTCCCTCATAATACAGATGTTTGCATGTAGAAAATGTCCACCACATGCGTAATATTGTAATTTCACTGTAACACCAGATGGCACAGCACACCACGGCAATTTTTCAAAATGTGTGAAACTAAATATTACCAGACAGTAATAAAAGCACACAATGTGAACATCCACATTAGGTTGACGACCCCGACAAGGATATCTTGTGTCTACAGCGAAATGCATGAATCGAGTTCTAGTTAGATTTCAGCCAATGACATCCGAGGTTCGAGCAGAGACTACATCAAAATGTCGGATCCTGGACTGGACTCAGCCCAGAGAAGTACTAGAAGCGGTACTTTACTGAGATAGTGTAATTCAACATATAACATGTTAGGAATGACAAGTCTTTATGGGTGATCAGCTTCTTTATTGTACAATAGAAAACAGTATAAGTATCTATACCGAAACGTCGCTATTGTTCAATAAAGAGGTTGATCATCCATAAAACTTGTCATTCTTATTACTTACAACTTCTAGAATGCCGCTGAGTTCATAACATATGTTACTTGTTTTCGAATTGGCATCATGTATTCACTATGTTCAGCATGCAAGTTTACACTTGTCAGATGGGTACACGAAGTATGTGATCAGTTGTCAGATTTCCATATTTGAGTCTTTTGGATCACTGGCTTTATGTTCTGGCCACTAGTTGACTCACTCTGAAGGTGTGTGTTAGAGTGAGTGAGTGACTTTGGTTTAATGCCGCTTTTAGCAATATTTTAGCAATATCACGGCAGGGAACACCGCAAATGGGATGCACACATTGTACCTATGTGGGGAATCGAACCCGGATCTTCGGCGTGACAGGCTAAAGCTTTAACCACAAGGCTAGTCTTAGGCTACCCTACTGCCCCCCTGTGTATGGCGTGGGGCGTGTGGCGTGGGGCGTGTGGCATGGGGCGTGGGACTCAACCCCAAAACAGTACCATAATCTGCACTTGACTGTGAAATCGTATCTCTAATATACACAGAGAACTTAGTTAAGCACCCCCTGACATAACTCACGATTGAATGAGCCCCGATCTTAACCCTTTGGAACATATCTGGACGTCATGAGCAACAAAGGGATCCTCCGTTACAGAACCTGGCCCAATCGGAGCTGCATTACACGAGGAATGCCGTAGACTGCCCCCTTCAGGGGATCAGGAGGCTGAGAGTGGGTATGAAGAGGAGGGTGCTGGCTGTCATACAGTCACATGGAGGTTGACCTTGAATCGTGTAAGACACGCAAAATGACATATTGAATGTTCACATTCACCAATAATTCAACATTAAACATTCCAGGGCCATACTTATACAGACATGGTTTTGTATGAAAATCAATGTTTTTTAACATGAACAATTATCATTTCTGTCATTTCTGTGACCGATGCCTGTTGACAGTCGTGTTGGGTCATACAATCCAGTGATTCATATCATGAACAATGATCCACGGGATACGATAATACTGTATCAACCATGAGACAGAGCCTCATCATTTAGTTGCTTCTTATTACCAGCAAATACCCGTGAAAAAAAGAACCATGTTAGAATTGGTCTTTGTAAGAGTCGACTAACGGGATCGGGTGGTCAGGCTCGCTGGCTTGTTTGACATGTGTCCCAGTTGTGTAGTTCGATGCTCATCGAAGAACAAACAAACACGTTCTTGAGGACTACGTCCATCCCGGAATCTGGCAAGCGGTTACAGCCTGATGTTTTCATACGTGTTTCCTAGTGGCAAAGGCGGGAGAAACTGGGACTGAGGCTCATTCCATGTTCAGGATTATCTGTGTAGAAACGGTGTGACAATGTGAGCGATCAAATGACAGTAACAAACAATCACAATAACGAATCTCACCCTTCCTGAAGACCCCTGTCCCTTCTCTCCATGCAATGTCTTTGGTTTTAGTGTCTTCGTTATGATCACGTTTTTTCAGATTGTGAAATGTACAAGCTTCTGCAATGGATTTTGCCCTTTCAGGAGTCATCTGTTTACCAAGAAACTTTGCAACTCGCCCAATACATGCGACCAGATCCTGGAATATAGAGTATCACAGAGGCCAAAAAGCTCATCACATTAAATATGGAAATTTGCATGATTTTTAACAAGTCTCCATTATTGGATTAGAACAAGATGAATTACATGGTTGTGAAGACATTGTATATGAAGTCTTACCTGTTTCATATCGTGAGTGAGTTAAGATTTTAACGTCACATCGGCAATATTTCAGCCATATCGTGACGAAAACATTTTATAAATCTAATGACAATTTATGTGAAATGATAAAACCTGCCGACGAAGGACAGTAAAATAACTAGATTATCACAGATATACATGTAAAACTAGTAATTGAATCTAAAACATTTTAACTATAGGGGACAACACAATATAAAATGGGCTATAGATCGCTAACAACTGAAGGTAGATCACCATACTAGAGACCATGGGGACTTACAGTACATTTGCTTCCTGCATGGGCCCTAGCTGGATTTACACATCATCCCTTCAGCTGTTAGCAATTGAGATAAATCTAGCCATACGTTAAAATTACACATATTCTACGATTAAAAAATGGAAAGTTGAAATTTACTTTGAATGTTTTGGGACTTACGTACCCTCTCAGGAGGACAATAATTTTACAGTACTTTAACCCCCCTCGAGGATACAGCCACTAACAATCTGTGTTACTAATTCGAACTTCCAATCATAAAATATTTAGCTATTTACAAATCTGTTAACAAATCTAATTCTTTTAAAAAGTCAACAACTAAATGAGAACTAACATTATTAAAAAGATCCTTCAATGTTTTGACATTAAAATACTTATCCCTTGTGATGGAATATTCAATGCAGTCAAGCAAGACATGCTTGACTGTGATCCTTTCATCACAAGGGATAAAAACGGAGGATCTTCGCCTTTCAATAAATATTCATGAGTATATCTGGTATGGCCAATGCGACATCGTCGCATAATGACCTCTTCAAATCTGGACTGACAACCCAAGTAGGTGTAACCAATATAGGGTTTTATTGCATGTAACTTATTAATACCTACTTGGGCGTCCCACTTCTTCTGCATCAGATCACGGATGTAAGTTCTAATGCCAGCTTTATAATCAGAGTATGGAATAAGAAGTGGTGTCACAGATTTGTTGAGTGCTGCCTTGGCAGCAAGATCAGCCATGGTATTCCCAGAAATGCCAACGTGGCTGGGTAACCAACAAAAGACGATGTCGCACTGGCCAGTAGCAAGCTCATTATACAATTCAATAATGTCTAATAAAAGTGGATGTTTACAAGAAATATTTTTAATAGCCTGAAGACATGAAAGGGAATCGGAAAAGATTATGTACTGTTTATGTTTAGGATGTCGTTGAATATATTTAAGAGCCGTTAATATGGCGTTTGCTTCTGCTGTAAATATAGAGCTGTCATTGGGTATTCTAGAAGATATTGTTCTGGATCCAATGACAGTGGCACATGCCACTGCGCCACCATCCTTGGACCCATCTGTAAATAAGGATTTGTATGTATTATATTTATTTCTTAATTGACTAAATTCTTGTTTATACTGTAATTCATTTGTTTCTGATTTTTTAAATGTAGTTAATGTTAGGTCAACTTGTGGCCTAACCAATTGCCAAGGCGGAGAAGAAAGAAGACGGGAAGGAGCTATATTTTCCAGCTCAATGCCGGCAGCAGAAAGAAATGGTTTAATTCTTAAACCAAGAGGCGGAACAAGAGAAGGCTTTTTGTTGTACAACTCCTCATAAGAAGGATTGAAAACACAGTTAAATGCAGGATTAGACTCGTTAGAATAGAGTTTTGTTATATACTGTAAAGAGAGTTTGATACGACGTTGGGTAAGGGATGGCTCATCAGCCTCAACATAGAGACTATCAATAGGAGAAGTTCTAAAAAGACCCAAGACAAAGTCTCAGACCTTGATGGTGGACTGAATCTAAGAGTTTTAAGTTGCTTTTACAGGCTCCACCATATACGATGGAGCCATAATCAAGCTTCGAGCGGACAAGTGATCTGTAAAGGTGTAGGAGCGTAGTTTGATCCCCTCCCCACCTTGAATTAGACACGACTTTCAATAAATCGAGTGCCTTCAGGCATTTAGTTTTTAGGGATTTAATATGCGGAAGAAAGGTTAAATGGGAGTCGAAAATCAGACCCAAGAATTTGGCCTCTTTGACAACCTTGATGGGAGTACCATTTAAAAACAGTTCTGGGTCTTTATGTGGTTTATATTTACGGCAGAAATGTATGCAATTAGTTTTTTTGATTTAGAAAATTTAAAGCCGTTTTCAAGACACCATTTATGTATTTTATTTAAACACAACTGCAGTTGCCGTTCAATAGTATGCATATTCTTACCGCGACAAGAAATATTAAAATCATCCACAAAAAGTGATCCATCAATGGAATCGTTTAAAACCTTGGATAAACTGTTGATCTTAATGCTAAATAAAGTGACAGACAAAATACTCCCTTGTGGGACACCCTGATCCTGATTGTAATGGTCAGACAGGGTTGAACCCACTCGGACTTGAAATTGCCTGTCTTTTAAAAACTGTGATATAAAAAGAGGTAAACGACCCCTCAAACCAAAATCATGTAAATCCTTTAAAATGCCATGCTTCCAGGTGGTATCGTATGCTTTCTCAAGATCAAAGAAAATTGATACAGCATGTTGTTTATTAACTATTGCATTTTTTACAAAGGATTCTAAACGTACCAAATGATCAATGGTACTACGATTTTTCCTGAAACAACATTGAATATTTGTTATGAGATTATTGGTTTCAAGATACCATGTTAAGCGATTATTTACTATTCGTTCCATGGTTTTACAGACGCAACTCGTTAAAGAGATTGGTCTGTAATTAGACGGATCAGTATGATCCCGGCCAGGCTTTGGTATAGGGACTACAATGGCATTACGCCACGAAGGTGGGAAATTCCCTGAAGTCCATATTGTGTCAAAAAAATATTTAGAAGAGTTTCCAAACATGATTCCGGTAAATGCTTCAAGAGCTGATAGTGTATATTATCAGCTCCTGTTGCTGTGTTATGAGCTTGCTCAAGGGCAGTGTGGAGCTCATGTAATGAAAATAATTCATTATAGTCTTCGCCATTGTCTGAGTTAAAATTAAGTCTCTTCTTCTCCTGTTGTTTCTGATATTGTTGAAATTTAGGGACGTAATTTGACGAAGAAGAATGTTTGGCGAGCGTTTCACCAAGCTTATTGGCAATATCAGCCTTATCCGTCAATAAAGTGTCTCCATCCTTCAGATGGTGAACAGTGGATTTAGAACTTTTGCCTTTAATCCTTTGTATCATATTCCACACCTTTGAAATAGGTGTGCGTGAATTTTATCTTGGAAACATAGGTTCTCCAAGACTGACGCTTATTATGTTTAAAGGTGCGTCGAGCCTTGGCATTTAGAATTTTTTACTTTATCTAAATTATGGACAGTAGGGTGTCGGCGAAAATACTTTTCTGCTTTCTTCCTACTCTTTCTAGCCTGTTTACAGTCATTAGTAAACCATGGTTTACGAATATGTGGAATTGCAGAGGACTTGGGTATAGTTTGTTCAGCAATGTCATTGAGTATTTCTGAAAACAACTGTATAGGATCTTCGCTGTTCGTAAAAACATCATGTTTTATATGCTCAGTACATAGAGTTTTATACAATGGCCAATCAGCCTTGGCGAAGTTCCTTCTAGATAAAGGTGGATCATCACCAGGGTTGATTTTTTTAAGAATGGTGGGGAAGTGATCACTCCCACATAGGTCGTCATGGACCTCCCATTCAAATTCATTGTAAAGGTTTGAGTCTGCAAGAGACAGATCAATGGCAGAATAAGTCCCAGTTGCTGGATGTAGATATGTGCTTGAATCATCATTAAAAAACACACAAATTATTATTAGAAATAAAATCTTCAAGTATTTTCCCCTTATTGTTTGTGCTGGCGCTTCCCCCATAGCGGGTTATGCCCATTTAAATCGCCCATGATGATGCAAGGCTTAGGTAGCTGGTCATAGAGATTCTGAAGTTCTGATTGACGAAGGGCATAAGAAGGTGGGATATACAAAGAACACAAAGTTATGGCTATATGAAAGGTAAGACGAATAGCAACGGCTTGAAGATTGGTATTCAGATGTATACGACTATGAATTATGTCCTGTCTAACTAACATAGTAGATCCTCCTGTTGCTTTATCTCCCGGAGGGGAAAAGAAATGATGACAATTATATTGTCTCAATTCAAATATATCTGTATTTTTAAGATAGGTCTCTTGGAGACACATTGCTGATGGTTTGAAATCTTGAATTAGTAATTGCACTTCATTAAAATTCTTCCTTAATCCTCTGCAATTCCACTGGATTAAATTCAAAGATTGAGTCATGGTGGCTCAATCGGGGACCTGGTTCGTGTATGCGAGTATGATCCACTTCTTCCTCTCTCCTGTGATGATGGAGTCACCTCCATATCCAGAGGAGTAAAAGTATTATGGATGGCTATGTCTGAAGAAGAGGAGTTACCAGCTTTTAATTGCTTGTTGTGTTGTTTTCTTTCTTTTCTTGTCTTTGGAGCGTCTTGTTTGACACCTTGGTTAGGTTGATCTGCAGACTGGCTCGTCTGAGTTTCTGAAGTTATTTTAGTTTGATTTACATTAGTGGTGATTCTCAGAGGCTGATCTGAGTTAATCCAAGTTAACTCAGTTTGACACATGATAGATGCAGTAGCGGCAGACGTAGTGACTGCAGCAGAATAAGTTATTGCTGAGGGAGCTTTTGTCTGGTTTGCATACAGTTGCTTTGCTTCTGAAAATGAAATGTTATTTTGGCATTTTAACTTAACTATTTCAAATTCCTGTTGCCACTTGGGACAAGACTTTGAGGAAGCTACATGACCGCCACCACAGTTGATACATTTGATATCATTTTGACAGTCTAAAGCCACATGGTGGTCACCACATCGATGACACACAGCAGTACTGCGACAAGATTTAGAGCCGTGTCCAAATTTCTGACAGTTGTAGCATCGGAGTGGATTTGGGATATAAACCTCCACTCCGATATTGAAATATCCAGCCTTAATAGATCTTGGAAGTGACGAACTGGCAAATGTCACCAGATACGTGTTTGTGCTCTTTATCGTACCGTCAATCTTTTTAGTGAAACGTTTCACGGATTTTACTCCTTGGTCTTCTAGTTCGTCTGTAATCTCCTGTTCGGACATTTCAGACAGGCAACGAGCTCTATCTCGAATAATGCCCCGACATGAGTTTAGTGTTCTATGAGGGGACACAACCACCTCAACATTTGCAAAGCTAGTGACGGATAAAAGATTGACAGATTGCTGTTTTCTGTCACATTCTACTAAGAGTGAGCCAGACCGAAGACGAGAAACATTCTTAACAGTGCCGCAAATTCCAGAAATAGCTTTTGACACAGCAAAAGGGTTTAATTTGAGTGGTTCATGATCAGATGCTTCGATCACAAGGAATCGAGACCAGGAGTCTACACTTTGTAAAATGTTTTCGTTTGAACTATCAAGTTCAAGACGTCTCTTTTTTTCATTTCGAGTGGAACCAGAGTTGTGTTGTGACATGGTGAAAGGTAATTTATTCGCCACCCCTGCTCCTCACCCGCCACCGAGTATCAACGAGGACAGTGTTAAATTGCACCGGACATCCAAGATGCAAACACTAAGGATACAGGGGTGGTATACTCCAGTGAGTATGACGCGAAAAGCTATATTAGTTTACCGAATTTAATGTCAGGCTGGTTCGGCCCACAACAAAAAATCGGAAGCCTACAGATTTCGGAGGTCAATAACACCAGATTGGCCCATGAGCCACCGCCTTCTGGCATAGGACTCTAGGCAAACATATAATATAGAATAGAATTTGAAACTCAAACATTCCATGACAAAAATGCACAATGATGTACAAAACGTGCATAAGAATGTAGTCCATGCACAGGGCATGGCGTGACCAGCCGATTGATAGAACCGGGCCAGTTCTACCACCCGTCTAGGTGAAGTAAGGGGCGAAGTGGTGTGTTGGGCAAAAGGAACACGGTTCCAGGCTCCTAGTGCCCTCAACCACCAGCCTCCCGTCCTCCACCGACACACAGGGCGCAACCCACGGCAAACGGGTTGGTGGACCAAATATCCCCCCACAACGGGTCCACAACAGGGGGTTGAAGGGTGCGCTTAGCGTTACCCAGCACCCACCACGAGGAGGTGGCCCTTCATTTGTGCCTCCTGGAGAATGGAGACAACAAGCAAATATGCATGATGTTGCATAAGTAGTTGGTCCAAACCGAGACACACGGGCAGGAATACAGTTGCGAGAGTATCTGAAGTTATACTTCAACAATGCAGCTGGATCAGTTCCATGGCAGGACCGTATGATTTGAAGTGTTGTGTATAGAACTGAATTGCTATGCGGATGGAATTGTTTGATGATGTTCATATTGCTATCATTACTCTACATTAGTCTTATGAGTTCATTATGGATATCTGGATTTCCAAATAAAGTATCAATGTGTGCATATTGTTTGTCTTCAATTTTGTTCATATCTTACAAAAACATTGCCAGCAGTAACATTTTCCTGTTGACCAATGTTTTCGGTAAGTTTTAGGCACTCTTTTGGGTTGTGGCCTTTCGTCTAGTAGCATACCTTCTTGGAGGCATGGTGAGACGTCTGATCCAAACTCGGCAGTTCTCAAATACCGTGGAAATCGGCAGTGCAAGACCTATTTATATGTAATCTGGAAAGGCAGAGGGGAGGCAGAAAAAGGCAGAGCGAACGCCGTGGTTGTTCAAAGGGATGCGCAAGTCGCTGAAAGAAGGCAGAGTGAATGCTCAACGAACGTCAATGGATGCTCGACGGACGCACAATGAAGGCAGAGAGAAGGCAGGGGCAACGCCGCAGTTTACAAAGTTTTTATGTGGCGTCCTTTCGCCGACTGATGTGCCTTCACTCTGCGACCTCGGTAATGGCCGTTCCCTCTGCGACCTGTTATCAATCCACCATGACGGCGACCGCTCTGCGTTTGTTTTGAGCATGTTCAATACAGTCGCCACTACAGTGGCGTTCTGAGACGGTCCTGGCGTTGGCACTGCCTTCTTTCTGCCTTCATGGCGATGGTTCTGCCTTCTCTCTGCGTTCGTCGTGCATCCTTTGAGCGTTCAGTGGCGTTCTGAAAATGTTTAGAACGCAGAGAGATGGCAGAGCGGTCGCCGTCCTGTGCAAAGGGGGCTTAAGACCGTTCTTGAGGTTGTGAGAAGTATCGATTCACGAACAATTGCTAAATCACCTAATTCTATCTTGCTTTCTTTTGCTTGCTGCTTAACTTTGCACTCAGCATTATCCAGTATATTGCAGCAGTCTGTAAATAATCGAGTCTGGACCAGACAATCCAGTGACCAACAGCATGAACATCATTCTATGCAAATGGGATACGATGGCATATATCATCCAAGTCAGCGAGCCTGACCACCCAATCTCGCTAGTTGCCTCTTACGACCAGCACGTGTTGCTGTAGACCAATTCTAGCCCCAAATCTTCAAAGGTCACATAACCTATAGCTAACTGCAGGGAAAGCATAAACATATCTCAAACAAAACATCTGTACTTTTTACATAAGTTGTATTCGTAAACATAAGCCAATTTCAATACTATGAATTAAAGAAATGCACCGCAGTACCTTTTCCTTCCAGGAACATCTGAAGATAGTCCTCCCAGCTTCCGTCATACTCCTTCACACTCACAAGACCACTATAGCCTTCAACCCCCTTCATCCCAACTGTCATGTTGTAGAACGACACTGCCACAGACTTGGGTTCTCGCTCAAGCAGGATAATCTTTGTTTTGGTAGTACTGAGCTGACAAGGGAGGAACCGGAAGCGAAGGTGGCTGCTGAGGACCCTGGGAGATGGAACCTGATCAAGCTCGCTGGCGGCTCTGAAATCTGGCTGATTCATGTTTTCTATGTGACTGCGGTGATTCAGATCTTCATGTGCTATCATGTTGACAACTTCCCACAGCCAGTGTAAACCTGAATTAGAATACATGCTGCGTTATGTTTAAAAGAGGGAGTGAGTAACTGATTGTAATGTGTATAGACATGATGTGCAAAATCCACACCCTAAGAAACTCAAAGAGCTACATTATTATCCCAGTCCTTGGATTAGTGTGCACTCACTTTTCATTCTCAGCTCCCTGGGAATCATAAAATCTAAATTGCCTGTGAAGTGCTGGAATGTTAATAGTCACATGTTACTTGCTACCATAACGTACCTTGGGCAAGTGAGCTTGTTCAAAACTTGGCTGTTCGCCAAGTAGAAAATGGGTACCAGGTGGGATCAGATGGTCATATGACCGGGTTAAGGGCTACGGTTTGAGCATGAGTTATCCTCAGCGCCACAGAACATGTTTGAGGTAGATATTTGGCGCTCTACAAATGTATTATATATTATAACACTCGCTGGATTTTCTAGTCAAGAGTTGATTATTTACATACTCCCTTCACACAGCTTGAATATTTCTAGCTGGGACATTAAACAACAAACACTTGCAGGAGTGGTGAAGTTTTTTCGATACTCACCCGACTTGGGGTATGAGCAGATCATGACATCATCCTGGCGCATTGTCATATCTTTAATGCTATCCAGATGTTGGCAGAACGGAATAGGCGTTGAGCCCCGATGAAAGTAATATCCATCAACGCTATTGACTATGAAACTCTGACCACTTCGGTCTACCAACTCCACTGTGGACGACATGGTCACGACTGTACAACATACAAAACACATTAGTTAGTATACATATGCCATGTACAATCAGGTCCGTCAAGGTATGTAGCTTAATGGCTGCCAGCAATTAATGTGCACGTTTGCATGTGACACTATTTATATCCACGAACAGTTATGCCTCGGTTCGCTGTAGACAGGTATGTCTATTGAGTCATAAATCCCATATTCACCGAAATATTGATTATGGTTTGTTTACCACCATACCTAGGCTAACATCTAGTCTCTGAAATGAGCATATTTTACAGAAAATAATCATAACATATAATGAAATGTAGCCCTGAAACTGTGGAAATCTATTCTAGACTTGCATGGGCTTTCTTGGATATATTTGTTTCATGGTCTGTGTGACAGACTACACCATACCAGTATGTACTCGCTGGTTCCACTAAAGGCCTAACCTGATATCAATGGGCTTTTTTCCCTCATTACTGAAATACTCAAAGGACATAATAACTCACTCACTCAATGAACCATAGTTGATTTGACATGTGTTAAATATCAAAGCAAAACGGTCACAAGCATAACACTAATAAATCAAAACATAGAACATAACATAGAGTGAGTGAGTGAGTTTTGCTTTTAGGCCGCTTTTAGCAATATTCCAGCAATATCACGGCGGGGGACACCAGAAATGGGCTCCACATATTGTACTCATGTGGGGAATCGAACCCGGGTTTCCGGCGTGACGAGCGAACGCTTTAACCACTAGGCTAACTTACCGCCCCACATAACACAGGAGGTCATTGCAAACGTTTATCCAGTCTTGACAATCATCAGAAATAAATTCCATTTGGTGTAAAGGAATCAATAGCTGTGAAAAATATATGATCTGATCACTGAAAAACAGTGATGACACCAGATGTTCGGAAAAAGATTGTCACACGTAATAGATGGTCGCAAGGCAGGTTGTAATACACCAACATTCAACAAAACACCAGCTCCCTAACCACCAGTGCTCCAACAGACTACACACGCTATAGATGGTCGCAAGGCAGGTTGTAATACACCAACATTCAACAAAACACCAGCTCCCTAACCGCCAGTGCTCCAACAGACTACACACGTAATAGATGGTCGCAAGGCAGGTTGTAAGACACCAACATTAAAAAACGACCAGCTCCCTAACCGCCAGTGCTCCAACAGACTACACACGTAAGAGATGGTCGCAAGGCAGGTTGTAATACACCAACATTCAACAAAGACCAGCTCCCTAACCGCCAGTGCTCCAAAAGATGGTCACACGTAAGAGATGGTCGCAAGGCAGGTTGTAATACACCAACATTCAACAAGAGACCAGCTCCCTCACCGCCAGTGCTCCAACAGACTACACATGTAAGAGATGGTCGCAAGGCAGGTTGTAATACACCAACATTCAACAAAGACCAGCTCCCTAACCACCAGTTCTCCAACAGACTACACATGTAAGAGATGGTCGCAAGGCAGGTTGTAATACACCAATATTCAACAAGAGACCAGCTCCCTAACCGCCAGTGCTCCAACAGATGGTTACACGTAAGAGATGGTCGCAAGGCAGGTTGTAATACACCAACATTCAACAAGAGACCAGCTCCCTAACCGCCAGTGCTCCAACAGACTACACATGTAAGAGATGGTCGCAAGGCAGGTTGTAATACACCAACATTCAACAAAGACCAGCTCCCTAACCACCAGTGCTCCAACAGACTACACATGTAAGAGATGGTCGCAAGGCAGGTTGTAACACACCAACATTCAACAAGAGACCAGCTCCCTAACCGCCAGTGCTCCAACAGATGGTCACACGTAAGAGATGGTCGCAAGGCAGGTTGTAATGCACCAACATTCAACAAAGACCCTAACCGCCAGTGCTCCAAAAGATGGTCACACGTAAGAGATGGTCGCAAGGCAGGTTGTAATACACCAACATTCAACAAGAGACCAGCTCCCTCACCGCCAGTTCTCCAACAGACTACACACGTAAGAGATGGTCGCAAGGCAGGTTGTAACACACCAACATTCAACAAGAGACCAGCTCCCTAACCACCAGTTCTCCAACAGATGGTCACAAGTAAGAGATGGTCGCAAGGCAGGTTGAAATACACCAATATTCAACAAGAGACCAGCTCCCTAACCACCAGTTCTCCAACAGATGGTCACACGTAAGAGATGGTCGCAAGGCAGGTTGTAATACACCAACATTCAACAAAGACCAGCTCCCTAACCACCAGTTCTCCAACAGACTACACATGTAAGAGATGGTCGCAAGGCAGGTTGTAATACACCAATATTCAACAAGAGACCAGCTCCCTAACCGCCAGTGCTCCAACAGATGGTTACACGTAAGAGATGGTCGCAAGGCAGGTTGTAATACACCAACATTCAGCAAAGACCAGCTCCCTAACCACCAGTTCTCCAACAGACTACACATGTAAGAGATGGTCGCAAGGCAATACACCAACATTCAACAAAGGTTGTAATACACCAACATTCAACAAAGACCAGCTCCCTAACCACCAGTGCTCCAACAGACTACACATGTAAGAGATGGTCGCAAGGCAGGTTGTAATACACCAACATTCAACAAGAGACCAGCTCCCTAACCGCCAGTGCTCCAACAGATGGTCACAAGTAAGAGATGGTCGCAAGGCAGGTTGTAATGCACCAACATTCAACAAAGACCCTAACCGCCAGTGCTCCAAAAGATGGTCACACGTAAGAGATGGTCGCAAGGCAGGTTGTAATACACCAACATTCATCAAGAGACCAGCTCCCTCACCGCCAGTTCTCCAACAGACTACACACGTAAGAGATGGTCGCAAGGCAGGTTGTAACACACCAACATTCAACAAGAGACCAGCTCCCTAACCACCAGTTCTCCAACAGATGGTCACAAGTAAGAGATGGTGGCAGGGCAGGTTGTAATACACCAACATTCAACAAAGACCAGCTCCCTAACCACCAGTTCTCCAACAGACTACACATGTAAGTACTGTACAATGTCTGTTTACCACAGGCAAGAAAACCCAGTCTGACAATGAATATACATAAGCAACATAATCTCTATCTGTCCTTGACTTTAAGGCTGGCACATAAGAGTAACACTACGCATAGCATGTTCGGTCAAGAGGGCATGGACGATATGGTTTAGAATATCATTGTATCACGCTAGTTTGATTGCAGTGCAGCGCTCTGTAAATATTCAAGTCGGCACCAGACAAAATACATGGATCAATAATAATGTTATAATAGTCCATTTATATTGCGCATTTATCCATGCACATTGCATACTCAAAGCGCTGACATATTAGCCCTGGTCAACGAGTACAGAACACTCCCTGTGGAGAATACAACCGGTCGCCTGTCAGACGCTCATGGTTCAAATTCAGACTACCATCGTATCATACCAGTACCCAATTTTACTGCTGGGTGGACAGAGGCAATTTTGAACAAACTCTCTTGCCTAAGGTGAGACCACATGCGTCACATGTGCTTCGTTGTGGGGCAGGATTGAAGTCCTAGAAAGTTTCAGGAGTCAAGCTGCCAAACACGGTCACCCATCCGTGGACTGTCCGCAACCAACGTTGCTTAACTTCAACTGATTGTGACCTGAGCTCTATCCTTAACTACATTTACATTTGCCCTTTATAAAACTCGTACAAATTATGCTTCTAGGCGTAGCTAGTGTGGCAAAACGTGATGGTATTATTGCCTCTTGGTGGGGTAACCTAGTGGTTAAAGGGTTCGCTCGTTAAGCCAAAGATCCAGTTTGAATCCTGTCCGCCGCCGTGACGTTGCTGGATAGTGCTCAAAGCGGCATAAAACAATACTCACTCACTCGTAGCCTCTTGGCTATGGTCCAAATGTTCCAACATTGAATTTTCTTAAGAAGAAATCAAAATGTATGACCAATGTGATTTGGACACATGACCGGTTGGTCAGGCTATAATAAATGACACATGACCCCTTATCGCCGTGTAGAACCAAAGTTCGCTCACACAAAAAAGTCGTCTGAACTTCTGTCTCTTGTACTCATGTTTTAACTGGTATAGTAATGTTAATTAATTAAATATTTCATCTCAAAATCATTAGCATAATTACCCCCACCCCCACTCCCCTCTTTCTCTCTCTCTCTCTCTCTCTCTCAGATAGATAGATACAGTGTGACAGTGTGATACGGTTACTATCAATTAACAGCAATCTGCTTGTTTTTACTATTTAACCTCTCCTATTTATTGGTTTCATGGCGCGTACTCCCCACCTGACCTCAGTTATGTATCTGCTGCTTGTCAGGATGAGCGGACCGATATATAGACAGACAGACAGACAGACAGATAGTTCAGTACTAGTATTCAGTATCTTGTGACCACTGGCCCATAATACTTATAATGTAATTGTTGTTTTGCATGTTTTGTACAGAAGCAGCCTTTAATAGAAGGCTCCCTTGATACAATAGTTAGAATATTCTTATTTGAAATTGATTTTGTTCTTGCGTTTTGTACCTGACACCAAAAAGAAGTTCAAAGGACAGCAACATATCAATACGTTTACTGGACTTTATCTAACTGAAACTACCTCGTGTACTATTTTAAATACATGCGGAAGGAAACATTCAAGTCGCACTGCTTCATACCGCTTACATACCAATATTACATGGAGTTTGTCTTCAACAAAGGACGTATTATCATGAATACAAACATTTCAGATCCTATCAACAAAGGTAATATAATTATGTCTTCTTAGTCCTACAGCCAGTCTACAGTTATTAAATTTAAACTGAGACAAGACATGTACTGGAAGATCTGATGCAAGATATCTTTCCACATTTAACATTGAATCAGGCAGGCACCTATTCGCCAACACACATTCATCCAGTCTGACGAACTGGGCTTCCACTCAGAGTATTTGTTCGAATACTGGACGGGACTCACCCCAACAAAAGTACTAGAATCTGTACTTTACTGAGAAAGTGTAATCCCCAGTATAACATGTCACTATTTAACATTGTTTTAAACACATCATACAACTTACACTTTGAAGGAATTTTCACTGCATGATGCCAATCTTGAGTAAGACAGACAGACAGCCTTTGCTTAAACAAAGACATGAAGGTATTTAGATATATCTTGGGAAAGCCATGCAACACCAAATCCATACTGATATAAAATATTTGTAATACGTGTAGCCCGAGTAGTCCTTCCAACATTATCCAGAGATTTTAACATCATTTAACATTAATGAGGCAATATATATCTATCAAACTGGAGCCGTCTA